AGGTGAGAAGGTGGTTGTGGGGGTCCACAGGTGAGAAGGTGGTTGTGGGGGTCCACAGGTGAGAAGGTGGTTGTAGGGGTCCACAGGTGAGAAGGTGGTTGTAGGGGTCCACAGGTGAGAAGGTGGTTGTGGGGGTCCACAGGTGAGAAGGTGGTTGTGGGGGTCCACAGGTGAGAAGGTGGTTGTAGGGGTCCACAGGTGAGAAGGTGGTTGTGGGGGTCCACAGGTGAGAAGGTGGTTGTGGGGGTCCACAGGTGAGAAGGTGGTTGTAGGGGTCCACAGGTGAGAACGTGGTTGTGGGGGTCCACAGGTGAGAACGTGGTTGTAGGGGTCCACAGGTGAGAAGGTGGTTGTAGGGGTCCACAGGTGAGAACGTGGTTGTAGGGGTCCACAGGTGAGAAGGTGGTTGTGGGGGTCCACAGGTGAGAACGTGGTTGTGGGGGTCCACAGGTGAGAAGGTGGTTGTAGGGGTCCACAGGTGAGAACGTGGTTGTAGGGGTCCACAGGTGAGAACGTGGTTGTGGGGGTCCACAGGTGAGAACGTGGTTGTAGGGGTCCACAGGTGAGAAGGTGGTTGTAGGGGTCCACAGGTGAGAAGGTGGTTGTGGGGGTCCACAGGTGAGAAGGTGGTTGTGGGGGTCCACAGGTGAGAAGGTGGTTGTGGGGGTCCACAGGTGAGAAGGTGGTTGTAGGGGTCCACAGGTGAGAAGGTGGTTGTAGGGGTCCACAGGTGAGAACGTGGTTGTAGGGGTCCACAGGTGAGAAGGTGGTTGTAGGGGTCCACAGGTGAGAAGGTGGTTGTAGGGGTCCACAGGTGAGAAGGTGGTGTGTGGGGTCCACAGGTGAGAAGGTGGTTGTAGGGGTCCACAGGTGAGAAGGTGGTTGTAGGGGTCCACAGGTGAGAAGGTGGTTGTAGGGGTCCACAGGTGAGAAGGTGGTTGTAGGGGTCCACAGGTGAGAAGGTGGTTGTAGGGGTCCACAGGTGAGAAGGTGGTTGTAGGGGTCCACAGGTGAGAAGGTGAGGGGTCCACAGGTGGTTGTAGGGGTCCACAGGTGAGAGGGGTCCACAGGTGGTGGTTGTAGGGGTCCACAGGTGAGAAGGTGGGTGTAGGGGTCCACAGGTGAGAAGGTGGGTGTAGGGGTCCACAGGTGAGAAGGTGGTTGTAGGGGTCCACAGGTGAGAACGTGGTTGTAGGGGTCCACAGGTGAGAAGGTGGTTGTAGGGGTCCACAGGTGAGAAGGTGGTTGTAGGGGTCCACAGGTGAGACGGTGGTTGTGGGGGTCCACAGGTGAGAAGGTGGTTGTAGGGGTCCACAGGTGAGAAGGTGGTTGTAGGGGTCCACAGGTGAGAACGTGGGTGTTGGGGTCCACAGGTGATAATGAGGATGTAGGGTGCGGGTCCCCTGGTGTCCCCTTTGGTAAAAACTTCACTGCTTTTACCAAAGCAGTGAACCATACACCTTATCATGGCTGGGGCATCGTCCATGCCCACACACCCTATTTTCTCCCATTTGTTCTCATGCTTTATAAAGGGGGACCTTCGACAAACCGCCAGCTTCCTGACTTCGTCGAGGCCACTAGTGTTAGTGGCCTGCAGGTAAATCAGGTAAAGCAAAAGAAATCGAGTATGCTGCCTTCGTTGAAGTTTGCAAAGAGGAACTCGCCCTTAATTTCACCCTCCTTGATATACCGTATATACACAATCGGTTGACTCATGGTGGAAACCAATTGATTCTTCCAGTTTTAGGCTCAGATGGTCCAAGACATCGCTGCCCATATCTGCAACTTTCCTGCAATGACCATCGTTGGACAGAGCGACTCCCTTCATCTTCATAGCCGCCGGTTCCCAGAACTAGTTCCACTATATGAATGGCATAAGGCTTAAGTATGTTTTCCAGAGCTGAATACGAAACGTTTTCCTCGGTGTATTAGTGGGAAATTGAAGAGGATGCTGCTCAGGTGGTTTAAATTCAAGTCGGGGCAATGTACCTTTCTCGTCTCGCCAGATTCACGAACGTACTTACGCAAGTACTTACGAACCTGTACATCTTTTCTCAATCTTTGGCGGCTTTGTTTCCAATTATTAAATAGTTAATGAGCTCCGAAGCACCAGGAGGCTGTTTATAACAATAACAACAGTTGATTGGCAAGTTTTCATGCTTGTAAAATGTTTAATAAATGTAACCGTCTACGTAAGGTTCCTGTAAAGGTCCGTCTAAATGTACACCACGGAGACTAGCAGTCTCCGTGGTGTAGTGGTAAGACACTCGCCTGGCGTTCCGCGAGCGCTATGTCATGGGTTCGTATCCTGGCCGGGGAGGATTTACTGGGCGCAATTCCTTAACTGTAGCCTCTGTTTAACGCAACAGTAAAATGTGTACTTGGATGAAAAAACGATTCTTCGCGGCAGGGGATCGTATTCCAGGGACCATAGGATTAAGGACTTGCCCGAAACGCTACGCGTACTAGTGGCTCTACAAGAATGTAACAACTCTTGTATATATCTCAAAAAAAAAAAAAAAAAACAAAGAAAGCACCCCACAACATTAAACAATTTCACATCAAAATTGAATTATTTTGATCTTAGGACTTGGGTAAACTTCCTCAAAACCGACATTAATGTTAACAGAGAAACAAGGAAATAAGCAAACGGACAGACAAATGGACAGATGAACACAATCTCCCACCTTGGAAGGCAGAGGGTTGATGAACCACAGGGTTGATGAACCACAGGGTTGATGAACCACAGGGTTGATGAACCACAGGGTTGATGAACCACAGGGTTGATGAACCACAGGGTTTGAACCACAGGGTTGAACCACAGGGTTGATGAACCACAGGGTTGATGAACCACAGGGTTGATGAACCACAGGGTTGATGAACCACAGGGTTGATGAACCACAGGGTTGATGAACCACAGGGTTGATGAACCACAGGGTTGATGAACCACAGGGTTGATGAACCACAGGGTTGATGAACCACAGGGTTGATGAACCACAGGGTTGATGAACCACAGGGTTGAGGAACCACAGGGTTGATGAACCACAGGGTTGATGAACCACAGGGTTGATGAACCACAGGGTTGATGAACCACAGGGTTGATGAACCACAGGGTTGATGAACCACAGGGTTGATGAACCACAGGGTTGATGAACCACAGGGTTGATGAACCACAGGGTTGATGAACCACAGGGTTGATGAACCACAGGGTTGATGAACCACAGGGTTGATGAACCACAGGGTTGATGAACCACAGGGTTGAACCACAGGGTTGAACCACAGGGTTGAGGAACCACAGGGTTGAGGAACCACAGGGTTGATGAACCACAGGGTTGATGAACCACAGGGTTGATGAACCACAGGGTTGATGAACCACAGGGTTGATGAACCACAGGGTTGATGAACCACAGGGTTGATGAACCACAGGGTTGAGGAACCACAGGGTTGAGGAACCACAGGGTTGAGGAACCACAGGGTTGAGGAACCACAGGGTTGAGGAACCACAGGGTTGAGGAACCACAGGGTTGAGGAACCACAGGGTTGAGGAACCACAGGGTTGAGGAACCACAGGGTTGATGAACCACAGGGTTGATGAACCACAGGGTTGATGAACCACAGGATTGAGGAACCACAGGATTGAGGAACCACAGGATTGAGGAACCACAGGATTGAGGAACCACAGGATTGAGGAACCACAGGATTGAGGAACCACAGGATTGAGGAGCCACAGGATTGAGGAACCACAGGGTTGGAAGTGCTACCACCCCCTGGAGAAGGCTGTTGGTCGTGGTTTATAATAATACTGTACTTATGTTAAGTATATAATGCAGAGAAGAATTGGTTGGTAAAAACTTGTTCTGTGGGTGTCTAAGTCTCTTAAAGTCCTTCTGGTATGTACAAGTAATATCTTGTTATACAGTAAATAATACATGTCTATATCTCAACACAGATATAGAAATTCTTAAGCCACTAAGTCCGTGTTGCCCTCTGAGGAATGTTGACATCTTGTTGCGATAACTGCCCGAATGTGCCACTTCTAACCCTCCCTATCCTTGTGGCCACTACCCTCCCGCTCCCTCACTTCCCACACAACTCTCTCTCTCTCTTCTTATCTATCTGCACTCTCTCCTTATTTATCTATCTTCCCCTGCACCCTCCTCTCCTCTGCCCCAAATCTCTCTCTCATCTGTCACTCCCTCGCACCTCTCCTTGGCCTGACCTACCTACCATCCCCCTTTCTCTCTCTCTCTTTCTTTCTCTCCCTCTCTCAAGCCTTATTCACAAAACTGCTTAGGAGTCCAGAAGCTATGCCCACTTGAAGGAAGTAGTAATGAAAGCAGAATATTGTCAGCCAATACCACTACACTTTCAGCCCCTACAACCACACTGTAAACCTCTAGCATCACAATGTCAGCCTCAAGCACCACATTGTCAGCCTCTACTACCAAACTGTCAGCCCCTATAACCACACACTGGTTATAGGGGTTGACACACCACACACCCCCTACAAAAATACACTGTCCACAGGTGGAGTTCTATGACCACACTGTCAGTAGGCATTCTTCTATCATCCCACCACAATACAGTATATTTGGGATTGTTTCTGTAAGAAGTGGAGGAATTTTTTACAGTCGTTTAGAGGGGAACAGCTCACGCAGGATGAATATGTCTTCCATGCATGCACAGGTTAGCAGCTGCCTTGGTAGGAGTTTCAACTAGTCTTTCACCAGAAAAGGGATATAAAATGGCCTCTTCCTTACAATATTTTGTTAGCATAGTACTAGCATGCTGCTCGAAACGCTTTGCGTAATAGTGGCTTTAGGCATTGTATGTACTAGCTCTATCTATTAATCCAACAAACTTTGTAAAATCTCTTGTATGTATGTACCTTACCTAAATAAACATTTATTTATTTATTTATTTACTGGAATTTAATTTTAATGAAACAACATTTGCTCTGCCAAACTTTAATATTGTGATTTTTTTTTTCCCACCAACAGTTGAGTGTTTGCTGTGCCATCCACTCTCAGCGTAGCCTTACCATCACTGCTGGCCACTTCCTTCCGTCACTGCTGGCCACCCATTCTATAGCCCTGCTGGTCACCATTACTGCTGGTCATCACTACCATAGTCCAGCTGGTCACCATCACTGTTGGCCCCCCTTCCATAGTGCTGCTGGCCACACTCACCGTTCATGTAGATGCTATATAGATTTCATCTTACAATACTGTAGCATGTATGACATTCTGCACAAAAACAAGTGACTGCAACTCCAACAATAATAAAGAATAAATGGTTGAGTGAAGGCAAGTGAGAAGTTGACACAAGTAATTGTCATCCAGCTGTCTTGACACCAACCCTGCTGGAAATCACCCCTTCAGTTGTAACACAACACAACTTGTGTTGAGTGTGTTACACTCAACACAAGGGTCAAACTTGCAGCACAACTTGGCATCGTGAGTGTGGCGTGAGGGTAGGATGCCTCAGGCTGGCCCTGGCATGGCGCCTGCCGAGGGGGTGACCTATGTGGGTATCGACACCCTGCAGGAGCAGACGAGGCTAAAAGCTCTACGCCGTGGTTACACCTTCAATCTCCTGGTTGTCGGTGAGTCGGTACACTATTTAGTTACAGCTAATTACTCCATCACATGGATTTTAAGTTTTTAAGTAATGCTATTTTTCTGTTAACAATAAACAATTATGTTTTTATATTTATTCTAGTTTTTAAATTAGAACAGGGGAGTAAGTTTACTGGGCACTGGCACTAATTCTGAAAGTGAGTAATAATAAATAATTTGCTGTGTCAGGGAACAGAAAACCAGAGTGTATTCAACATGAGTTAAAAATAGATCCTGCCTTACTAACCTGCTCACATTTCTGGAAATGGTAACCGGCTATTCAGACAAAGAACTTCCGGTAGATGTAACTTACATGGTCTTTGCTAAAGCTTTTGAAAAGTTAAAGCTTTTTCAAAGTGACCACATGAGAGACTGGCAAGGAAATTACAAGCATATGGAATAAATGGGAGAATATTGGAATGGATAAAACTATGGTTAAAACTATGGTTAAAACATAGAAAACAAAGGGTCGTGCTAAATGGGAATGAATCTGACTGGGGAAATGTGCTAAGTGAGGTGCCACAGGGGTCCATTTTGGGGCCAACCCTCTTTGTAATATACATCAATGACATAGATGTCATTGACTGTCATTCACAGTCTCCGTGGTGTAGTGGTAAGACACTCGCCTGGCGTTCCGCGAGCGCTATGTCATGGGTTCGTATCCTGGCCGGGGAGGATTTACTGGGCGTAAATCCTTAACTGTAGCCTCTGTTTAACGCAACAGTAAAATGTGTACTTGGATGAAAAAACGATTCTTCGCGGCAGGGGATCGTATTCCAGGGACCTGCCCGAAACGCTACGCGTACTAGTGGCTGTACAAGAATGTAACAACTCTTGTATATATCTCAAAAAAAAAAAAAAAAAAAAAAAAAAAAGATGAGAATATTACAAACCACATCATCAAATTTACAGATGACATTAAGATCTATGATAAAGTGGGAAGTGAAAGTGATATTGAGACCGCACAGAGAGATCTACATGAACTTCACAAATGGTCAGATGCCTAGCAAATGCTTTTTAATGTCGATAAATGCAAGACCTTGCATGTGGGGCATAACAATTCACGTCACAACTACCAAACTGACAGCACTATCTTACAACAGATAGATGAAGAAAAAGACGTTAGTCAGAATCCATCATTCATTAAAAGTTACACAACAAGTGGGAGCAGTAGTGAAAAAAAGAAACCAATAATCAAGCGTACCTTTACCTTCAAGGAAAAGAAAGTAGTCGTTTAATTGCATAAGTCTTTGGTGCGCCTCCACCTGGATTATTGCATCCAGGCATGGAGACCTCATCTTCAGGAAGACCTAGCTGCTCTGGAGAAGGTACAACACCGGGCAACAAAAATCATACCAGAGTCATCTCTCGTATAGGGAACGGTTTAGGGCCACAGGGCTAACAACACTGCAGACCAGGCACATGCTAATAAGCATCCTTTAGGTACAGAGAAATCATCCAACTCCCAGCCTCTACCACGAGGCAAATCTGGGCCAGAGTGGTCATACCTTGGTTACCTTGAGGTGCTTCCGGGGCTTAGTGTCCCCGCGGCCCGGTCGTCGACCAGGCCTCCTGGTTGCTGGACTGATCAACCAGGCTGTTAGACGCGGCTGCTCGCAGCCTGACGTATGAGTCACAGCCTGGTTGATCAGGTATCCTTTGGAGGTGCTTATCCAGTTCTCTCTTGAACACTGTGAGGGGTCTGCCAGTTATGCCCCTTATGTGTAGTGGAAGCGTGTTGAACAGTCTCGGGCCTCTGATGTTGATAGAGTTCTCTCTCAGAGTACCTGTTGCACCTCTGCTTTTCAACGGGGGTATTCTGCACATCCTGCCATGTCTTCTGGTCTCATGTGATGTTATTTCTGTATGCGGGTTTGGGACCAGCCCCTCAATTATTTTCCACGTGTAAATTATTATGTATCTCTCCCGCCTGCGCTCAAGGGAGTACAGATTTAGTCATGCAGAAAGTAGGGCAGGGAATGAACCCATTCAACCCTGAAAGCTTGAGGACGACACGGAGCTCTACCAAGTCCTACCCAATGAAGAGAAGTGGTCATCTCGACCATGCCAGAAGCCACCCACTCTGCAATGACCTGATGGAGGTGAGGGGGGAAGAAGCTTGTTGACCAGACCACACACTAGAAGGTGAAGGGACGACGACGTTTCGGTCCGTCCTAGACCATTCTCAAGTAAGTAAGTACAGTAATTATCAAAAGAAGGCACCAAACTGGAAAGGCTATGTAGCACCATCAAATGCGCAAAATAATCAGAGGGCGCTATATATCACCAAGGATGCCAATACGAGAACAAAAACGCATAAGGCGAACGATATCAAAAGTATTCGAGTCACCAATAATTCTATTGAGGGACAGGTGACCGCGAGGGGCGGTCGGAAAGCAAGACACCCTCGTCATGGAAGTCAGGACATTCAAGAAGGACATGCACGACCGTAAGAGGGACAATAGACCATTCTCAAGTCGATCGACTTGAGAATGGTCCAGGACGGACCGAAACGTCGTCGTCCCTTCACCTTCTAGTGTGTGGTCTGGTCAACATACTTTAGCCACGTTATTGTGACTCATCGCCTGCATAGGGAAGAAGCTTGACTTAGAATGTGGGGGCAACCTCCCCCCCTCCTCCCCTGCAGCATGGGCATATACAGTTAGACTAAGCCGGTGAAACTGCCATGACTGGCAACAAGGCACCTGGACCTAACCCTGAGCTGAGCAACTCAACATTCTCAAAGAAGCAGTCACTGAGTGACCAAATGAGGAAAGGCCAAACACTTATAAAATGTTGGAAACCTTATGCCACTCAAATGTACAGAAATGGAAAAAGCTGCATCAAGACCCAAGGAAAAAGAAAGGATTAGCCGAGAAGAGTCCAAAATCTCGTATCACAGCCAGTATGGTAAGGAAGACCCAAGCTCAAAAAAAGAGCCAGAATCCATCAGAGAGGCAAAATGCAGGTCATTCAGGAGGTACTTAAAAAGACCTACCCGAGATAAGGGTCCCACCCCGGTGGTTCAGCCTCTAGAGAACAACTCGCAAACACACTAAGAGAAGAGAACTCTGTCAGTGAAGAAGCAGTGCTGGGGAGCACATAGTAGGAAGTACTCCTGAGCACATGCAGCTCCAAGCACCCTATGAGCCAGGTCAACAAAAAAAAACAACTGTGAAGCTAAAATATAGAATAATACCAAGCAAATAGCCCCTGTAGGACAAAGTCCAAGAATGGTTGGTACTGTACTTAGCCGAGATGCAGCAGGTTCTGTGTAGCTGGTCAGTCAGCGGACAACTGGTAGTGTCCACATCAACGACAAAAGCAACTTGGAAAGCCCGGGAAACCTGGAGCTCTCCCACCCCCTTACTGGTTGGGGGAGGGGAGGGTGCAGAGCTTATTGAGATCCCCTTTGGCCAACTACTGATCTTCAGGATGCGACCCATAACAGTTGCATAATTCCTGAGCATACATTTATTGCTAGATGAAAAAGCTCATCAGGTGAAAGGAAACCTACCCAACCAATTTTATAAATAAATAAATAAATGTTTATTCAGGTACACATACATACATACAAGATGAGTTACAAACAGAATGTTGGATTTCTAGAGAGAGCTAGTACATACTATGCCTAGAGCCACTATTACGCACAGCGTTTTGGGCAAGATGTGGGAAAAACACTGACTAAAACTTCAAACTTATCCTGACCAGGGACTGAATTTGAGTCCCTAGGTCAGGTTGTGAGTCGTCAGTTTGAGTCCCTAGGTCAGGAGTTACGACTCACAACCTAGGTAGGTTGTGAGTCGTTCCGTTGCACATTCACTCACTGTACTACAGTGGGCGAATATGCCACAGAACCCTCCCTTACTCATAATAATGATAAGCAAAGATGTTTGACTCCTGCAAAGAAAGTGCAATTGTCATAAAAATACACTTATTATGTTTTGCAGGTCGTAGTGGCCTGGGAAAGTCAACCCTGGTCAACACACTGTTCAAGGCGAATGTCGCGCGCAGGAAGTCAGGAGAAGAGGAGCCACTACCTTCCACCACCGAGGTGTGTGCCTAACATTCCATTAAGCATTCTTTTATATTTACATTCAAATTTTGATTTGGCTTAAGATCAGTACAATAAATTGTATAATATATTGGGCAAATTAACAGTTATACGACAGAGTACTGGGAAGACGGGACACCACAAGCGTAGCTCTCGTCCTGATTATTATACTTAGGTAATTACACAGTATGTAATTACTAAGTGTAGTTACAGTATGAGAGCTATGCTCGTAGTGTCCCGTCTACCCAGCACTCTTTTGTCATAACGCTTTGAAGCTACTGACGGTTTTGGCCTCCACCACCTTCTCACTTAACTTGTTCCAACCGTCTACCACTCTGCTTGTGAAAGTGAATTTTCTTATATTTCTTCGGCATCTTTGTTTAGTTAGTTTAAATCTATAACCTCTTGTTCTTGAAGTTCCAGGTCTCAAGAAATCTTCCTTATCGATTTTATCAATTCCTGTTACTATTTTGTACATAGTGATCATATCACCTCTTTTTTTTTCTTCCGTCTTTTAGTTTTGAGATACTTAATGCCTCTAACCTCTCCTCGTAACTCTTGCCCTTCAGTTCTGGGAGTTACTTAGTAGCATGTCTTTGCACCTTTTCCAGTTTGTTGATGTGCTTCTTAAGATATGGGCTGTATGTGTGTGTTTCTTGCCTCTCAAGTAAATGGTTAGTTTAGTTTAAAGTCTTATAAGATAATTAGTTTATCTCTTTGAAGATTGCAGCCATTTGTACACATGGTAACAGTGGGTCCTGGGAACTGCCTATATTTAAATTTTGTTGTCTATCCTATTTATATTGTAATAATATTTACCCTACTTTTCCCCTCCTACTTTGTCCCCTTTTTTTCTCCCATCCCATCCATCCTCCCCACCCCTCCTCTATACCAACACCACATTAACCCAGAGCATCCTTCCTATCCTGCCTCTTGACCACTATCCCACAAGGCCCTCTCCTTACACCACTACTCTTTCTTGTCGTAATGTGAGGCAAACAAAGCAATACAACCACCACTTCATCCTTGCGCATGCTACCAAAATGAAGTGCGCTTCGGCAGATGACACTGAAAAACTACTCAAAAACCGTACTCGTACCGTACTCGGCACGAGTCTTTCAACGGGCAGTGGAGAACAGCATGATATTCAGTAGCGCCATATTCCATCTACATACAGTACTTCAATAATAAAAATCATGAAGAATTAAACTGGATACAGCCCAGATGCTCAATGATATTATGAATGGAAATGACGTAAAAGATAATAATAATTTTATTGTTTAATGATTTTATTGTAAAGATGTCAGATGACCTTGTATTTCATGTGCATAAAAATAAGAAAATTTATGAAAACTGTAGAAAGCCTATTGTTCCATGCAAGGCAAGTTGCATTTACACAATAAACTCATTCAAGTACAGCATACAGTATGTCTAACCTACACTTGAAACAATCCAACTGCCCCACATCTATTATGGTACCTGATCATTTGTTCGTAAATCTATAACCCTATTCCCAGATCAGTTTTTACCCAGGCTGTGTATCAATCCAAACTTATCCTATTTGTATCTATTGTTTTGTGTTGATATATTTTGTACCCTATTTTTATCTCGGTTAATATACAGTGATACGTTCCTTTTCAAATTTAATCTGTTCCCAGAGACAGGTCGTAAGCCGAAAATTCGCAACCCGAAACAAATTTTCCCATAAGAAATAATGTAAATTAAATTAATCTGTTCCACATTCCCAAAAATATTAATTTCAAAATACATTTCATACATAATACACACAAATACTGTATTTTGTACTATAGTATGTACAAGTTATAGCTTACCTTTATTGATGGCTTTTGTTGACGTATGGAAGACAATGAAGAGGAGAGGGGGGAGGAGGAGAGGTGTTAGTGTTTGGAAGCGGAGTCCCCTTCCATTATAACATCAGGCAGTGATGACTTCTCTGGGGTACACACACACCTATGTTTTCCCTGCATACCACTAGGACCTGGTTCAAGCTCACTGCTTGTTTGTCTTACTAAGAATCTGTCTAAAGATATTTGTTTTTCCCAATATTTTAACAATGTCTGTGGTGAGACACCACATTGCCATTAAAAAGGTCAATTCAACAGCCTGCTACAGCTTTATTTGGGTGAGTTTTTTTCCACAAAACTTCATAGTTCTTCCCATACTTCACACATTCTTAATTAGGAAGGAACATCCTCTACTGCCTCTACTCAACTATTTTCTTTGACTGAACCTTACCACTGACTTTCTTGGGACCCATGGCATGATATATATATAATAATTACTTATATGTTAAAAAAAAAAAAAAAAAATCAATGAAATTCTTTACAAAGAATTCAAGCGCGATCGTCACTAAGTGAGGGACACTGGTAAACTGAAGCGTGGTTACCCATGCCACCAGGAACCATGCACTTGGTCGACCCATACATGTATCAACAAAGTCGCAAGGTGAGGCAAAGTTCGTAACCCAATTCGTATTTTCCAAAGAAATCGAGTTCATAACCCAAAAAAATTTGTAAAGAGGGTCGTTCGCTACCCGAGGTTTCAATATATATACTGTATAGTATATATAATACTGTATATATATATTTTTTTTATATATACAAGAGTTATCACATTCTTGCCCAGCCAGTAGCACGAATAGCGTTTCGGGCAAGTCGTTAATCCCTGAATTTTCCCCGAAATACGAGCCACTAAATCGTTTAAATCATGCCCGAAACGCTTTGCGTAATAGTGGCTTTAGGCATTGTATGTACTAGCTATACCTATAAGTCAAACAATCCTTGTAAATATTTATTGTATGTATGTACCTTACCTAAATAAAATTGTATTGTATTGTATTGTTTAACAACCAGGTTCCCATTATACTGTTGGGTAAACAGAGGCTACAGTTAAAGATTGGCACCCAGTAAATCCTCCCCGGCCAAAATACGAACCCAAGCCAAATGCACTCACGAAACAGACAAATGTCTTACCAACTCACCACGGGGACTGCTGGTCCCCAGATATCCTTTCATCCATTTGTACACAGTACCTCAGTCATCCCTTCCCATATTCTTCACCTTTCTAGAGAATTAAAATTATTTTCTAATTTCTCTCCATAAGAGAGATTTATAATTTCTATTGTTAATTTAGTATCATCCAGGAAAATGAATGAGTAGAGAACTCTCATTCAGTGGATGCCACTCCAATGCTCCTACTTTTCAAATAATTTGTGCGATCCTGCAACTTAAACTCTACTCTCTCTCTTACCACCTCTCCACTAATCATACTCTCATACTGTCCCCTCATATGCATGCAAACTCTTCACTATCCTAAAACATTCCACTAATCATACTGACTCCCAATATACACAATCTCTTCCCTACGGTGCCACTTCCCCACTAATCATACTGTCATACAGACTCCTAATATACACAACCTCTTCTCCATGTTACCACCTCCCCACCACAGTCATACTGTTTTCAGCTTGTACGTACATACTATAGTACAAGTATCTCCTTTCATCCTGGACTGAATTGCCCTCAGGTGAAGACCGTGAGTTCATCTCTATCAGAAGGGGGCGTTAGATTGAACCTCACCATCACTGACACTCCAGGATTTGGTGACCACATCAATAATGAAAACTGGTAAGATGTGTATTTTTTTTTTTTTTTGCCAAGCTTGCATATGCAGCTGATGATATTGATTTCATGTGGGCTGTGGGAGATGGATTTGATGTGACATCAACCCCTCAGGGCTTTTCTGTTTAATTCCAGCAGAGTTTAATACTCCAATTGGTATTTTGTGTCCAGTTTACTGGATTTCCAGGGAGCCGGTCGGCCGAGCGGACAGCACGCTGGACTTGTGATCTTGTGGTCCTAGGTTCGATCCCGAGCGCCGGCAAGAAACAACGGGCAGAGTTTCTTTCACCCTATGCCCCTGTTATCTAGCAGTAAAATAGGTACCTGGGTGTTAATCAGCTGTCACGGGCTGCTTCCTGGGGGTGGAGGCCTGGTCGAGGACCGGGCCGCAGGGACACTAAAGCCCCGAAATCATCTCAAGATAACCTCAAGAAGATACTGTTACCAGCTTAATAACTTTTCACTTTCTCGAGTTAACCTCTAGTAGAGGCTTAGAGCAGATCATCTTGTGGTTTTTTCCAATCTTCCATTGTATTTATCCTCCTTATAGTGTTTGTGCCTCCAGAAGACTTTGAGACAAAGGAGTCTTTCTTCTGGGTATATTATTTACAAATATCAGGAATTAAATAAACCTTAGCATTAACTCCTCTGTAACCCTGCAGGTAGTATCTTGCCATTGTGAAGTCTCTCCTCCCACTGTGACTCAGTCTTCTGTCATCTCATCATCTCGTCTTCCCAATAATCTTTGTCATACGACGCTTTGAAACTATTAATGGTTTTGGCATCCATCACCTTATTATAACTTAAGTTATTCCAACTCTCCACAACTCTGTTCGCAAAAGATAACTTTTGTATGCTTTTTGGCACCATTGTTTCCTTAGCTTAAATCTATGGTTTCTTGTTTTGTAAGATGCAGGTTAAAAAAAAATCCTCTTTGTCAACTTTGTCAGTTCCTGTCACTCTTTTGTATGTGGGAGATCATAATGTCTCTCTCTGAAAGGTGCCTGGTGGCTCCCTGAAGCTATCTCGCTAAGATCGCTCCTTGCAAATGGGTCACATTATATTTTATTTTATTTTATTTATATATATACAAGAAGGTACATTGGGATTGTGAGGATACATAGCATAGTAATTACATTCTTGTAAAGCCACTAGTACGGGCAGCGTACTAGTGGCATGCTATCAGTACATCAGTAGTGGCATGCCGGTGTACATCAGACATGCCAGTCCTGTTTGGCCAACTGGGGATCAGAGCCAGACCCTGGCCCCCATCTCCCACCCTCGCTGAGGCAGAGAGAGCAAGCAACAACTTGCGACCACACAGGGAAAGCATCTAGAAAATTAGTGAAGCTTTACAGACAACTTTTGGGAATAACAAAGACCAAAGCTTAAAAAATGCTGCAAAACCCATATACTGAATATACAGTAGTGTTTTTCTATACTTACTGTCGACTAATTATGCATAGTGCTATGCTTTAAAATAGTAAATACAATACAGAGTGACTTCCTTCATGATATTATGTTGTAATTTATTCATCATCTCTACTTACCATTTCCAGCTGGGAGCCAATAGTGTCGTATATTGAGGCCCAGTATGCGCACTATCTACAGGAGGAGCAGAAGGTCGACCGCCTTTTGCATATTGCTGATACTCGCATTCATTGCTGTGTGTACTTCATTCCTCCCACTGGACACTCGTATGTAATCAATGTTTTCCTCTTTCATTCTCACAGCTCCCAAATGTTAGTATTCAGACTTATGCACTGCTAATTACATAAAAACTTAATATTATTTTTGTTATGTTTAAATTCAAGATAGCTATATACAGTAATGTGTGTGTGTGTGTATATATGTCATACCTAATATACAGTATAACTATTATTATTATTATTGCCTATAATTACTGGTAAATCCTGGAGATTATTAATTAAGCTCCATGACAAACCAGTCCCCAGGAATTCCAATGGTGCAATTTGTACACTTTTTTTTTTTATAAATCCTGGTGAATGTTCAGGCTGTTGAATGGTTTTCTGGGGAAGAGCCCCTGATGACTTCTTGACGCTAACTACCTGCGAGGAAGAGAAAACAGGCACTCATCAGGAAGGAAGAGGAACCACAGGCAGTCAAGATGAAGGCACGATACCAGGCCAAGAGACATGGCCAAAGGCAACACAAGGGTGACACAGCCCGGGAACATTAACCAAGTACCGAGCTGCCAATACCCTATACAAATGCAAAAACCCCACACCCCCAATATCAACCAGGACATATTGGCAAAAACATCTGCAAGAGTACTTACTGATGTTATAGACATGAGGGTTATCTTGAGATTATTGAGGTTATCTTGAGACGATTTCGGGGCTTTTTTAGTGTCCCCGCGGCCCGGTCCTCGACCAGGCCTCCACCCCCAGGAAGCAGCCCGTGACAGCTGACTATCACCCAGGTACCTATTTTACTGCTAGGTAACAGGGGCATAGGGTGAAAGAAACTCTGCCCATTGTTTCTCGCTGGCGCCTGGGATCGAACCCAGGACCACAGGATCACAAGCCCCGCGTGCTGTCCGCTCGGCCGACCGGCTCGCAGGCCACTGGCTACATAGACTTGATGAAACTTTGGACAACCTGAGAAAGACGAGCCTTGAAACAGAGACCCAAGGAGAGAGGATAAACCGACAAAGCATCCACTGAGGTAGAATCAGTGGCACGACAGTAGCAGTGAAGAGCTGCTACTGACCTAAGCACATGATGCACCCGCGGCCGAACCAACCAAGCATCAATAACAAAAGGACCCCTTCGGAAGCCAGCCATCTCATTTTTTGCCAGAAAAGGAGCTGGCTTCAGACAAACAAAACTTCCACCAGGGCCAAGGAAACAAAAAACCCCTCCTCCAGAGAGAGCATGAAGCTCCCTGACCCTACAACTGGAAACCAGGGCCAACAAAAACAAAGCTTTAGAAAAAGAATCCTGGACCTAGAAAAAAAAAAAGTAAAGCAAGAATAGTGTCCAAAAACCAGGCAGGCTGGAGATAAAACAATGCAGAAGAAAGCTTTAAAAAATGCTGCTGAGGACATGCTGTATGAACTCGCTTATCCGCAGCCCATTGATCTGAATATTTGGGTTATCTGGTTAAAATCACAACCGGATATTTTCCTGCCAAAGCTTCACCATATCTGAATAACCAAAGATTTCGCCAGCTACTGCAGACAGGCATCAAGCCATACCGTATTAATCCAGTACAGCAGTGGCTTGAGGAGCTGGGTATGGGAGGTGTTCAGGTGGCTGGTTTCGGGGTAAAGGGGTGTTGGGAGAGGGGAGGGAGGGAGGGACTGTTTGGTGGAATGAGGGGCCTATGATCTCTATTATATAAGAATAACCAAGAATTATATTAAAACAATTCATTACAGTAAAAACTAAAAAAATATTATCTAATATTATATCAAATACAAATTTCTTAAAACTACGTGTACAGACTGTAGTTTCCTGCTAAAATTTTGGGAATTTTTTCCACCTGGCAACCTACGTATTGTCTCTGCCTTCCCCATGTGGACCGTCCAGGTCATGTGATCTCAACCCCTGCATTATACCACAGTGCCATGCCATTGGTGAAACATTTTCTTAAATATCCTTTCTGTTTTCATAGTCACTTTGATAATTTTTTTGGCAAGACTGGTAGCAGCAGTAATCATTCTGGAGGTGTTAAGAGTAAGAAGGTTGTGCTAATAACAACACAGGTGCTGTTGTTGTTGTAACTAAATACAGTTTACTGATGTCTTTTGTTGACATGTTAATCAATTTTTCATCCAACTGTGCTAATCCAGAATTTGGAAACATTAGTACTTGAGTTTAACCAAAGAGCTGATCATAAAGAGGCCAATGAATACCGGAGGTAAGCTAAACTCCATTCTTATTAGTAAAAACAGCAAGCCAAGGCCCTTCAACCAGTGCAGCTTCAACAAGCAAGCTAAGGCCCTTCGACCAGTGCAGCCTCACAAGTAAGACAAGGACCGTCAATCAGTGAAGCCTCGCCAGAAAGCCAAGGCCTTCAACCAGTGCAGCCTCACAAGCAAGACATGGCCCGTCAATCAGTGAAGCCTCGCCAGAAAGCCAAGACGTTCAACCAGTGCAGCCTCACAAGCAAGACATGGCCCGTCAATCAGTGAAGCCTCACCAGAAAGCCAAGACATTCAACCAGTGCAGCCTCACAAGCAAGACATGGCCCGTCAATCAGTGAAGCCTCATCAGAAAGCCAAGACCTTCAACCAGTGCAGCCTCACAAGCAAGACAAGAACCTTCAATCAATGATGCTTCAGCAGCTGGCAGTCAAAACTGACAATGTCAGGCGCATGTACTGTGCAGTAATTTTAGTGTTGTGTTATGTTATGTAAATTTTCAAGAATTACTGATTTGAAGATACTGTACAGTACTGTAAGCAATATCAGTCAAAAAGATGAGCTATAACAAGGTATGCTTAAATTTCCATTTTAAATTACAGTACTGTACTGGTATATTTTGTAAATTATATTATGTGTGGAAATTCAAATTACAGTATGTTGGTTGTGGTACAAAAAGTTGCCAATATGTTCATCTTTGGACTTCTCCAATAAAAATTCTGCCTATCCGTAAGTCTGGCTTATTTGGCAGGGTAGTTCTTCCCATATAATTTGGATAAGTGAGCTTAGACTCTATTGATGCTGAATGTAAGCAACATTGGCTCTACTAACACCACACATTAAAAGGTGACGGTATTTGGCATTTGGAGCCTATTAAGAAACAACTAAGAATGAAATGTAAGAACCAAATGCTCTAAAACTGAAGAGTAATGACGAAGAGAAAGGAAGTGGCAAACAAGAGTACTAAGAAACCCTCATACTGCCGTTGAGAGGATAACTACACATGGGACACCTTCAAAGAAATGATCTTCTCACCATAGAGATGGTGCTAAAGTTGCATCCAAAATACCAAACCTAAAGAGCCAAGGAGGTCAAACCAGTGAGGTATGTCACTGGGCCGATCTTCTGAAAGAGTTGGAGCTGCGGAAAAATGCCCGGGTTCAGACACCGAGGGAGCGGTGCCTTAAACCAAGGCTGAGCTGGCCACCAAGGAGCCGGAAATAACACCCTCCCATCGCAGGACTCCAACCTGGCCAGGACCTGGAGCAACAGCTGGGCTGGGAAATTGAGGCGCCCCATTGTGACTAGTCCAGCCGAAAGGCGTCCACTGTGAGGGCCTCGTGATCAGGGAATGGGGCTGCATAAAGAGGAAGGTGTTGATTCCATACCAGTGCAAAGAGATCCATGTTGGGGTGCCCAAACACCTCACAAAGCCACAGAAAGGAGGCAGCATCGATGGTTCATTCCATGGAGAATCTGGAAGATGCGGATCTGGATAATCAACCTGTCCTCCTTACAAAGAACGTTTCTTTTCACTAGTATGCATCACATAAAGCCAAACATTGTCGTACTAGAAAATAGAAGCAGCTTGCGAGTTTGATGTACTGTCCAGTTTTCTGTTTTGGGTCCTGTGGTAGGTTAGGAGAGGACACTTTAAATTACCGTTTTCTTGATGCTGGGAAACCTTAGGAGGAGCCACTGTAATTAATCATTATGTCAATACACACAATAGAGTACTAACACATTTATAGATGCATTTATAGCAGTTTTAATTTTAATTGAGTGATGTTCATAAGGAATGCACTTGCCATCAGTTGTATCTCAGTCTAAATTATTAACTGTTTAACTATAAATAGCAGCATGTTAGTGGCTTTGCATGAATGTAAAAATACCAATCTTATGTAATCTCATCAACCCATTGTACCTTCTTGCAAGTGAATAATTATTATTATTATTATATTCTGTATTTCACTTCTAATAATTAATGAAATATCATTTTCAGCTTGAGTTCCTTGGATGTTGAGGTCCTGCAACGGCTAGACAAGATTGTCAATGTGGTGCCGGTAGTAGCCAAGGCTGACACACTAACAATAGAAGTATGTGAATCTATTAGGATGGTTACCAACTAATAGAGCAATTAACTTAATCCTATTTATTTTAAACTTAATCTATTTAATTATTGTATACATTATCATATGCTCCTACTGTACAGTAGTAGGCATCCTTCAGTCTTAAAGAGAGTATGGAGTTGCGCTCGGATTGTCGATCTGGAGTGGTCTCTCCAGGGAGCAAGGCCAGGGTAGGTAGATACGGTGGAGAAGCTGTCACCCATGCAGCAGGTCTCCAATGGAAAGGCAAACACCAATATGACTGGTTCCAGCACTATCACTGGAATCATCAGAACGAGGCTGAAGGTAACAGCGAACTGCCCCTAGGAACTCCAGCTCCGGAGTTTATCTCGAAGTTGTTAAAAGAAAGCACAGCGACTCCAAACCCGGAGACTGCCATGGTCAGGGCCAGAGAAGAACCACCCCAGCAAGGGCAAGAAAGACTCCAGCCATCTGAAGCAGAGCTTGGGCCGCACGACCCCCAGGAGGTGGACAAAAGAGTCCCGCACCTACGGGTTCCAGACAGATCGTCACAGCCCCCTTTCCCCCGAGGCTGGCTTCCTTCATGACCCAGCAGAAGGAAGAGTAATAAATATTAAATATTAAAAATTATTATTATAATTATTATAATAATATAATTAATATTTATTACTCTTACAGTATTTACCCTATACTGTATATACATATATACATAAAAGTAATATTATTTTATAAAAAAAGCAGCGTTGAATGTAATGAAACGCCATTTTCATTAACTTCCCTGAAGCTATACGAACTGATATGTGATATATTAGTTTGGGGTCATCAGTCACAAGAGTCCTTATGCATACCGGGAAAACACGAACCAGAACCTGGTCCCCTCAAAGAGGCGAAGCGAGCAAATGGCCAATGAGCTCTTTACATTTAAAATACCTGTATGTCATAATTGCTATCGACCTGGTAGGGCACCCAGAAAGAGACGAAACAAAACAGACCACAATCTGGTGAAAATTGCGACCTACATTGGGGGAGAGGGAGCACTAATGTGTATGAATACACTCATAAAAGCCTAACGTGTATGACTACACTCTGGCTTCATGTCCCCTGACACAATGAATTATTATGACCAAATAGCCCCGCACAACAAAAATAGTCTCCAGCAATGCCAACAGTTATGTGAAAAATCTGGGACTTGAAGAGCACCGAGGCCAAACTCTCACAAGTCAAGCCTGGCCTCGGGCCGGGCTTGGGGAGTAGAAGAACTCCCAGAACCCCATCAACCAGGTATCAACCAGGAGGCAGGAAGAGGAGCATAACTATGACATCATCACAGATGTTTGCCCCAGGCAAGTGACTGAGGTGTCAAGACTAGTTCCTTCTTTGATCAAGAAGGAATAAAGATAAACGAGTGGAACTAATAAGAGAACGTCCTCTCAACTGGGTGGCTCAATCATTTCAGAGTTTGTTGCAATATTTTTATGCTTTGCTGATTGTATGTTATATTTTGGCCAACTTTCTAGTGCTCTTTTCTTTGTTAGGGTGAGATAGGTACTCTGCTGCTTGTGCCTCTTTAGAGCAAGGCCAGGTTTTGGTACTTGGTAGGCTTATAGTGATTTACAATGGCTAGGTGTATATATTGAATTGGGTGGAGCTGTCCAGATAGGAACTGCCAATAGGAGCCTTCTCAGAAAAATTCAGCTACATTGGATTTCAGGCAAAAATCCAGGCGACTAACGACCTGCCTTGATTGTTATGGTCTAGTCTAATGGAACCAGAAAAATGCTTGCATCAAGAAACAAATAAGTTGGGTAGCTAATGGGAGTCCTAGAGTATACTTGATGCTTGCTCAAACTTTTATGAAATGTTAAGCTATATATGTACACATGCTCACAATTATCACTTTAGCCAATAACAGATGACTTCAGTTAACTGACATTTCTTTCAGGAAAGAACAGCATTCAAGGACAGGATCCGTGCAGACTTGATTGATCATGGGATCAAGGTATACCCTCTGCAGGAATATGAAGACTTGGATGATGTTCAGGAAAATATGAAAATCAGGGTGAGGCTTACTTTAAATTAGAGTGAAAATAAAAGTTTGTTCATAACAGCGTTACTAAAATAAATTTGAAAATAAGATTTACCTGATTTACCCAAGGGTCACTAACCCTAGTGGCCTCGATGAGGACAGGAAGCCGACAGCTTGTCTAAGGTCCCCCATTTGCCTTGATAATCTTTTCCAGGTATATTTTGAATTTAGCACAGTTTTGGCAGTTAAGGCTTCGGCGGGTAAGCAGTTCCATAGATTAATAACCGTGGGTGAAAAAGCATCTCCTGTTCTCAGTCCTACATTATGGCTTGCTGAGCTTGAAACTGTTGCTCCTTGTTTGTGTTACATCTGACCTGAAGAAAATATCCGGATCAACATTCTCTAACTTGTTCAGTATTTTAAAAATTTAAATGAGATCTGCCCTGTCATGCCTGGTTTGCAGTGCTGTTAGCCCTGTGGCCTTCAAGCATTCCTGATAAGAGAGATGACTTAGCACTGGAATAACTTTGTTGCACCTTCTCCAGAGCAGCTATGTCCTTCTGAAAATAAAGTCGCCAAGCTTGGATACAGTAATCTAAGTACACCAGCACCAAAGGTCTATACAGTTGAACCATTACCTTCTTTTCCTTATAGTCAAAAGTATGCTTGATTATCCCAAGAGTTTGGTTAGCTTTTCTGACTGCTGCACCCACCTGTTGTTCAACTTTTAATTGAATGGTGGATCTTGACTCCAAGGTCCCTTTCATCATCAATCTGCTGTAATGTAATGTTATTAATTTGATAATTGTGCTATGGGTTATGCCCCACATGCAAGGTCTTGCATTTGTCAATACTAAAAAGCATTTGCCAGTCTTCTGACCATTTGTGGAGTTTATGTAGATCTTTGTAAGGCTTCAATATCATTATCATTTCCCACTTTACCATAGATCTTTGTGTCATCTGCAAATTTGATGATGTGGTTTGTAATATTCTTTTCTATGTCATTGATGTATATGACAAAAAGGGTAGGTCCCAAAATGGACCCTTGAGGCACCCCACTTAACGCATTTCTCCATTCCGATTTGTTCCCATTTTGCACGACTCATTGTTTCCTTTCCTTCAACCAATGTTTTATCCATTCTAATATTTTACCATTTATTCCATAGGCCTATAATTTCCTTGCCAGTCTTTCATGTGGTACCTCATCAAAAGCTTTAGCAAAATCCACGTACGACTACCATTTGCTGTGGTTGGAAGCACAGCCTGGCACGAGGTCCATGGGAAGAAGGTGCTGGGCCGTCGCTCCAACTGGGGTCTTGTTGAAGTTGAAAACAAAAGCCACAATGACTTTGCGTACATGAGAGACATGCTTATCAGGTAAGTCTGAATAGATTACATTGAGGCCATACCTGTCAATGAAGTCAGCACATACTTATCATAGATACGAATTTTAATTAAATCTAAAATTTAAACACGAAAGATATGCTTATCAAAAGAGCTTGTATTGAATGTTGGCTTACATATGCATAGGTACAGTACTGATGTGTCAATGATAATGTTTTAGGATAAAGATTACTTGTTAGAGCTATTGCAGTATGCAAATTATGCACCAGTAATAACATTAATAAAAAACAAGTCGTTTTAGGAAGTGTGAATGCAACAGAGGTCTTACAAAAATATGTGTTTATTATCTAAATTCTGTGAATTATTATTTGTAATCTATGTCTCTGTACAGGACACACATGCAAGACCTAATTGGCTCTACAGCAGAACGACATTATGAAAACTTCCGAAGATCTAGGTTGTCTACCAAAACTTCTTCCAAACATGTTATAGTCAACGGCCAAGACACAGATGTGAAAGATCTTAACGAATCAAAAATATAGCACCTAACCCTGTATTTAGTGCTTTAAACCAAAACATGACAATACTTTAAGATTGATGCATTCAAAAAAGACATGAAACTGTATATAGTTTGTACATGACATATCACTTGTGGTTCAGGTGTCAGTCTGCTCCAGTCTCTCCAATGAATGTGTATTAATGAGAGACTTCAACATCTTAGATACAAAACATTACCAACTCATCCTCCTGTTTAGATAGAACTTTTTGTAACTGTGTGCACCATAATACAAATATTGACGTACTAAGCAATTAGATAGTAGAATTTGGTACTGTACTACTGTACCCTTGAATTCACTATACTGTATACAAAAAGTGGAAAAAAATGAAAAAAATGAGTATAAAAAAAAAAAAAAGCTAAAAACAAACTTAAATATTCCTAGGCCTAGTATAGCACACATATGTACTATATTAGGCCTCAGATAGCATGTATTAGCCCTAGGAAGGTTAGTTTGTCTTTGCCATGTAAATATAAAATCTTTTCCGGTTTGTCCAAATTCAATAGTATGCCCCGATTTCTACTTTCTAATTGCATTGCATGTCAGTATATGTTCTATGGTCTTCATCGTTACTATAAGTACTACCAAAACAGGAAGATAGGCTGAACATTACATATCTCTTAACAAATGTACATGCATATCAGATTAGGATGCTGGAAAGTTGACTCATTGATGGTTCAGTTTGAGCATGCTCATTTCTCAAGGACAGGTTTTTGTCCATATTTCCCCCTTAGGCCCTGTTTCATATTTTTTCCCTTTGCTGTGGTAGTATATTAATGATATATACTGTATTTTGCACTATCTCTTGACATTGTGATAATTATAGATTATGCTTAGCAAGTAAAGATGAAGTATTTTATGGAATGGATACAAAACATTAAAAATCATAACCTATCATATACAGCTCATCCTCATGTTTTGGTAATACAGTGGTACCTTGGTTTTCAAATTTAATCCGTTCAAAGAGATGGCTTGTAAACAGAACATCTGCAAACCAAAACAAATTTTTCCATAAGAAATAATGTAAATTGAATTAATCCATTCCACACTCCCCAAAATATTAACTTCAAAATACATTTCATACATAATACACACAAATATTTTATAGTATAGTATGCACAAGTTATAGCTTACCTTTATTGATGACTCTTGTTGGCATATGGAAGACAGTGAGGAGGGAAGGAGGAGGAGAGGTGTTAGTGTTTGGAAGGGGAGTTCCTTCCATTATAACATCAGGCAGTGATGACTTCCCTCTCCTACATTTTGCAGGAATACCACTAGAACCTGGTTGTGGCTCACTGCTTATTTGTCTCGCTAAGAACCTTTCCATTAAAACTTTTTTTTTCCTCTATTGTCATCCTCACATGTGTTTTCTTAGGTTGAACCTTACCATTGACTTACTTGGGACCTATGGTGTGGTATATAATAATTCTTTCTGGGGGGAGCCCCGTCGGCTCCCCGGAGCTATCCCAGGCTGATATGCTAATGTCAGACTTTGGCATCAGTCATGTGTATGGAGTTCTTAGGCCTACCGGGGACCACGGCCAGAACCGGGCCCCCTCAGAGAGGCAAGGGGAGCAATGGCCTATAGAAGCCCCCGTGTAGTTGGAAGCATTCTATGTCTGCCATCGACCGGAACAGGCACCCAGAAAGGTAAGCGCCCCAAAACAAACCCCTATTCTGGTTAAAATTGCTACCTAATACCGAACTAGTGGATAGAACTCCCCAACCGAAAACAAGCAAATTAGTGTGACGTCACACACTGCCGCGCCACTGTCTGCGCAGCTCCCCCCTCCCCGGGAGGGGGAAGGGGGAGCCCCAGACCCCCCGCGCCGGCTACCCACACCTCAGTTCTTGAGGCTGATGCTATGGGCGATGGTCGTGTGCTCTGGCTCCGGTGTCGCTACTGCACTGTGCTTTGTGTGTGGTGTTAGTTTTGTGGGTGCGAGAGCCAGGAGTTATCTTCAGTACTTGGGCTGCATGCGCCTAGGGCTGCCTTCCCTAGGTGCCCTGTAAGTACTGCCCTTGGGGCTTGGGGCCACCTTCCACAGGCTCCTCGGGGTCTGCCTCTGCTGGTCCGTTTTACCTTTCGGTTTTTCGGCCGCCTGTTGGGCTCTTGGGTGTTCTGTTCTCCCTTGTTACCGGCAGGTAAGAGGCAGTTTGCACTGGTAGGGGCGCAGGGTGCTGCTCAGCTTGTAATTCCCGACATCGCGGCCGGCTCTGTTCCTTGGGGTTCGCTGTCCTCTTGCGGGGTTTTGCTTTTCTTTTTGTTTTTGCCTGGTGGGGGGTTCTGTCATTTTATTCAGTTTGTTTTTGCCCTTCCACTGTTCTCCTCGGTGGCGCCCCCTGCTAGGTCCCCGTGAGTGTACACGTCCCTGGGGTTCAGCTTTAGAAGTTTGCTTGGTAGTTTTGGGCGCCGGTTTGCAGCACCCTGCCTGGGACTACCTGAGCGCGAGTCCTCTTAAAGTAAACGCTCAGGACCCTGGGAATCCCCTAGGGGGCGCGTGGGTCCGATGGATGTGACCCCGGAGTCCCCACTCGCTGTGTGCGAGTTTGAGGGTTGCTCGGTCCCCTTGTCTCAGGGTGACCCTCATTGTTTTTGCCTCTGCCACGCTGCCTGTTGGGTCGGTGATACTTTCGACCCTGAGTCCTGTGAGTGTTGCTGCTTGCTTGTGACTCAATTTACCCAATCCTCTGATGATTCTATTCGGGTACAGGCGGCACGTGCGTTGCAGTCTAGGTTTCGTCTGTTGCAACGCGCTCGGTTGGTTGCTTCCCCGGATGCCCCGGGGCTGCCCCGCTTTGCTTTTCGAGACCCGGACTTGGGGGTGGGGGTCGCTTCGATCCTGGTTCAGTCCGCACCTCCTCGTCCTTCCCCTTCTGTTCGTTCTGGTCCCCCGCCCCTGCTTCCGGCCCCGAAGCGTCTGAGGGTTTCGGGGTCGGAGCAGGGGTTACTTGATCTCGAGACTCGGGCAGCTTCGGGGGTTGCCCCTTCCGGGGGGGCGGCAGAGGCATTCGAGTCTTGTCTCCCGGCCGAAGCTTCAGGGTCTGACCAGTGGGCCCCCCTTCCTCCAGCTTTTCCGGCTGCTCCGTCCTTGTCTTGTGGGGTCGGGGCTTGGGGAGAGGACTCGGCCTCGGGTCCTGTGGTGACGGACCTCGAGGCTGGGGAGGGGCTGACTTGGGGGCCTTGGGCCCCGCTGGACCCCGCCTGGGTTTTTCTTCCCACTGAGCGGGGCTTATTGTTACAAGGAGTGGGGTTTTCTTTCCCCCCTCTGCGTACGAGTTGGATTTGGTGTCGGCCCCTCCCCGGGTACGGTTCCGTGTTCCCCCAGGTACGTCGGTTCCGTCCTTCCGGAGGTTTTCGGCTTATCGCATCCACCCTGGTGTGGTGCGAGCGGCCTTTGCAGCTTACCTCCTGCGTGACCCGGATTATGCCTCGGAAATGGATCCGTCCACGTTCAGGTTTGGGACTTCGTTCCCTTTCTGGCTCCGTTACGAGGTTCCGGAGTCATCCTGGCTAGCAGACTGCCCCTTGTTTGGTCTGGATTCCTGGCATTCCGTCTGTCGTTCCCGCACGCTGGAGTGGCGGGAAGCTTCCACGGTGCTTCAGGTTTTCCTGGGGGGTGAACTTGAGTACCTGAATGAGTGCTTGTTTGCCCCTGCCCTTCCCCGCGATGTGGGCGTTATTCAGCTCCATGTGCAGGTTCCCTCCCTTTCGGCGGCGCTCGTGGCGGAGGACTTGCGCGCTCGGGGCCTTTTGTGTTCGGCCTTACGGTTCTTTTCCCTCCTGGAGCTGTCTTCGGATTGGCTCGTGGAGGATGTGGGGACGCTTGGGTCCGTCCCGGGGTCCGGCACCTTGTCCTCAGCTGCGCGTTCGTCGGCTGCCTTGTTGAAGCTGTTCACGCCGATTTTGCGGGATGCGGTTTCCCTGTTCTATGCTTCCCGTCTCGCGTGTCGGCAGGCGGTGCTGGGTTCCTCCGTGGAATCTGCTTGGGCTCTGGCTCTTAGGCGTTCTTCCCCTTTTTGTCCTCTCCTGTTTGGGGAGTCGGCCGTGGCGCAGTTTATTCAGGCTGCGTCGGCGGCTTGTCGTCCGATGTCGGACTTGTTGGTTTTCCGGGGGTCCCGGGGTGGGTCTTCCCGGAAAGGTCGTGCCAGGGCTCGGGGTTCCTCTCGTCGTGGTAGGCCTCTGGTGTCAGGTTTGGGGTTGGCTCCTCCTGCGGACCCTCCCTCGTCTGGTCGGCGCGGTGTTCGCGCTGTGCGGGGTTCTGGGTCTCGTAAGGGTCGCCGGCCCTTTCGCGGTTTGCCCCTTTGACGGGGCGATGGGGGGGCGGCTTGCGCTGTTCGCCCGCGCCTGGTCCCACGATTCGTGGGCCTTTCGGGTCGTGTCTCGCGGCCTGCGGTGGCGTTGGGTGGCCCCTCCCCCTTTGGGGGGTCGGGGCTGGCGGGGCAGGCTTCTTCCCCTGCGCTCTGTCGAGTCGTCTTGGAGTGGGTACGCTTGGGCGTCGTCGAAACGACGTCGTCCCTCAGATGGGTTTCCCGTCTGTTTCCGGTTCCGAAACGGGACTGCGCGGACCTGCGGTTCATTCTGGACTTGTCCCGTCTGAACCCCTGGGTTCATTGCCCCTCCTTTCGGATGACTACGCTGTCTCAGGTTCGGCTCCTCTTGGACCCGGGTGCTTGGATGGTGTCCCTGGACCTCCGGGACACTTATTGGCATGTCCCGATTCATCCGCGGTTCAGGGACTGGCTCGGTTTTGTAGTGGGGCGTCTGAGTTACCGCTTTCGTTGTCTCCCGTTCGGGTTGAACCTGGCACCTCGCGTGTTCACACGCCTTACACGGGTTGTGGTGGCTCGTTTGCGTCTCCTAGGTGTTCGGGTGTTGGCCTACCTCGACGACTGGCTGGTTTGGGCTCCCAGCCAGTCAGCTTGCTTGCTAGCCAGGGATTTGGTTCTTTCCCAGCTCGCCGGGTTCGGGTTCTTGGTGAACTGGAGGAAGTCCCATCTGGTTCCCTCTCAGGTTCGGACTTGGCTGGGTCTCGTGTGGGACTCTCGGACCGCCTCCTTGTCTCTCCCTCCGGAGTCTCTCCTGCGGCTGCGGTCCTGCCTTCGTCTGTTTCTGGAGGGCCCTCGGGTCACCCGGCGGTTGCTCGAGGGGCTGTGCGGGAGCCTGAACTTCGCGATGGTGGTCTACCCGCCGGGTCGGGTTTGGCTTCGACGGCTGTTCTGGTTCCTTCGGGGTTCCCCCTTCCGCCTCTCTCGCGATCGCAGAGTTCGACCCCCGGGGGCCTTGCGTCGGTTGCTGCGTCACCGGCTTCCTCTTCGGGTTTTTCGGGGTTCAGTGCCTTGGCGCCTACCCGAGCCCTCGCTCGATGTGTACACGGATGCGTCGTCTCTCGGCTGGGGTTTTGTGACCAGTGCTCACCAGGCCGGCCAGGGGCGTTGGGATCCGTCCTTCCGTCGAGCTCACAGTACGGTGCGGGAGTTCGCGGCAGTGTGGTTTGCTCTGGGGAGGATTCGGGTGGCCCGCGGATCGACGATTCGGCTCCATTCGGACTGCTCTCCGGTGGTTCATTGCCTGAACCGCGGGGGTTCGATGCGGTCCTTGTCTCTTTGGGGTTGGTCGCTTCGGGTGACTCGTCTGCTGAGTTCTCGGGGTTTGGCTCTCCTGGCGGTTCACGTACGGGGCGTGTCCAACGTCTTGGCCGACGCCCTGTCTCGCTTCGTTCCCCTCTCCACGGAGTGGACGGTCGACGACGAGTCCTTCCGTTGGCTTTGCCAGACGTTCGGGCGCCCGAAGTGGACCTCTTCGCGTCGGCGTGGTCGCGGCGTCTTCCCGTTTATGCGGCGCCCTTCCCCGATTGCGAGGCCGTCGGGGTCGATGCCTTTCGGCTCGACTGGTCGAGGTGGGGGTTCCTGTACCTCTTTCCCCCAGTTCGGCTGTTGCTCCAGGTCCTGACTCGCTTAGAGACTTACCGGGGGAGAGTTGTCCTTCTGGCCCCTTGGTGGCCGGCCCAGCCTTGGTTTCAGGCGCTGGTTGCTCGGTGTCCGAACCCGAGGGTTTTCCCGCGGCTCCGCCTCTTTCAGCAGATCGGGCCGGTACGTCACGTAGCTGGTTCGATCTTCTCCTCGAGTCTTCGCGTATGGTTTTTTTGACTCGAGTCTATCATCATCTCTATGGTGATCAGGTGGCCTCCTTGTTGGTGTCCCACCTGAGGGCTTCTTCTCGGCGGCAGTATGAAGTTTCCTGGCGGTCCTTCCGTTTCTTTTTGCGTCTTCGTCGTGTTAGCTCCTTGTCTGTTCGGGTGGTCTTGTCCTTCCTCTCGTGGTTGTTTCAGGACCGTCATCTTATGCCTAACACTGTCGCTTCGTATCGTGCGGCGCTGGCGGAGCCGCTTCAGCTTGCTTTCGATATCGATGTTACGTCTGCGCCGTTTCACAAGCTGTCTCGTGCATTGTTTCACCTCCGGCCTGCTCATGCGTCGCCTGAGCCGTCCTGGTCTTTGGACAGAGTGCTCGCTTTCCTTTCATCTCCTCGTTTCGTTGTGGCCTCTTCGGTCCAGGATTGTTTTTCCAAGGCACTTTTCTTGTTGGCTTTGGCCTCTGGGGGTCGGGTAGGGGAGCTTCATGCTCTCCTCCGGCGCAGGGGTTTCTGCTCTTTTGGTCGTGGTGATAGTTTTGTTCGTTTGCAGCCGTCTCCTTCTTTTCTGGCGAAGAATGAGACTGCTGCGTTCCGGAGGGGTCCATGGGTGGTTGATGCTTGGTTGGTCAGGCCGGGGGTGCATCATGTTTTGTGTCCGGTTGCGGCGCTTCGCCGTTATTTGCGCGCCACAGCTTCTGTGTCCGGGGACGCGCTGTGGGTTGATCCGGTTTCCCTTCTTCCCAGTTCGCGGGTTCGGGTCTCTCAGGTCGTCCGCAGGGTTATTAGGTCTAGCCAGCCTGCGGTCTATCCCCGTGCCCATGACGTTCGTAAGTTCGCGGCTCTTGCTGCCGTCTTTGGGAATATGTCTTGGTCTGATATTCGGGCGCGGGGATTTTGGCGGTCGAACAGGGTCCTGGCTGCTCGTTACCTTGTGAATGTCCCTGGCCCTCGTCGGGCCTGTGTTGCTTTGGGTCGGCGGTTGCAGCCAGTTGTCTCGGCTTCGAGTTGAGGGGTGAGCGACGACCGCCTCCCGGGTAAGTCCCTCTTTTTCTGTCTGTGGGTAGTTAGCTCCGGGGAGCCGACGGGGCTCCCCCCAGAAAACCAGCGTTGAATGTAATGAAACGCCATTTTCTGGGTGAGTCCCGGAGGCTCCCCGGCATCCCTCCCTCCCTCCGGTCGGCGGTTTTTCGCGTTTTTGACATCCAGCCTCAAGAACTGAGGTGTGGGTAGCCGGCGCGGGGGGTCTGGGGCTCCCCCTTCCCCCTCCCGGGGAGGGGGGAGCTGCGCAGACAGCGGCGCGGCAGTGTGTGACGTCACACTAATTTGCTTGTTTTCGGTTGGGGAGTTCTATCCACTAGTTCGGTATTAGGTAGCAATTTTAACCAGAATAGGGGTTTGTTTTGGGGCGCTTACCTTTCTGGGTGCCTGTTCCGGTCGATGGCAGACATAGAATGCTTCCAACTACACGGGGGCTTCTATAGGCCATTGCTCCCCTTGCCTCTCTGAGGGGGCCCGGTTCTGGCCGTGGTCCCCGGTAGGCCTAAGAACTCCATACACATGACTGATGCCAAAGTCTGACATTAGCATATCAGCCTGGGATAGCTCCGGGGAGCCTCCGGGACTCACCCAGAAAATGGCGTTTCATTACATTCAACGCTGGTTTTTTATGTTTAGAAACCAAAAAAGCTGAAAAACGATTAAATTCTTTACAAATAATTCAAGCGCAATCGTCATTAGCCGGGAGGCACTGGTAAACTGAAGCGAGGTCGCCCATGCCACCAGGAACCACACACTTAGTCGACTCATACATGTATCAACAAACTCGCAAAGCAAGGCAAAACTTGTAAACCATTTCGAATTTTATGAAGAATTTGAGCTCATAACCCGAAAAATTTGTAAAGAGGGAAGTTCGGCAACTGAGGTTCCACTGTACTTCTAGTAACGATGAGGACCATAGTATATATACCGACATACAACAAAATTAGAACGTAGAAATCTGAACTAGTGAGTTGGACAAACTGGAAAACTATTTTTTACTTGTGTTGCTTTGACAAATTAAACCTAACCTCCCTAGGCCTAATATATGATATCCGAGGCCTAATATAGTACATATGTGTGGTATACTAGGCCTAGGAATATTTGTATTTTAGCTTCATTTATTTTCAAAGAATTTCTTACTGGTCAGTATACAGTACTACTGTCTAAAAGCCAAGTTCGTACGAGTTCGTGACTACTGACGATCATCATAATAGGTACTATCTAAACAGGAGGATGGGTTGTCATATAACCTGTATTGTTTAAATAAAGTTAATTTGTCAAAATGCTTTCTTGAAGTTTACAGTATCATTAATTGACGTGAAAAGTCCGACTAGAATGACAAGTACAGTACTGTAGAACTAAGCAACTTTTAAAATGTAGAATTTTTATCAGATTTATAATCTTTGAATTTGATTACCTGTTTGTCTGTTCAAAGTTGAAGGCCACATGGTTGGGGCAGCCTCACCTAAATTGGCAAAAGGAATGGTCTGAGATATGGGATGAATATGGGCCGATTGGAATCGCTAAAATTCAAAAGGGAAGTATGCCAGGGTTACATTCAGACCCCACAACGATTTTTGGCACTGCCCTTTTAGACCTAAATATTTAAAAAAAAAATTAAGAAAAATTTTTCCTTATAGTAATATGCATCATTATTTCTCAAGAAAATTAACAGAAATTTACGGCTGTCGATAATTTGCCCTTAATTACATAAAACAGGAAATTCTTCTACACCTTCAAAGGTTTCTCAAGCCGTTACCCTTGATTAGAGTAAGGGGTAACTATTCCTATTTTAGTATTTCACGTCACTAAGTTCTTCTCACTAGCAACCAACCACACAAATTTGTGTAAGGAATCATTTAGAACCTTATATACCACATATGTAAGACCAATCCCGGAGTGTGCTGCACCTGCAGGGAGTCCCTACCTTGTCAAGCACAAGACGAAGCGGAGAAGGGTCAAAGGTATGCCACTTGTCTAGTCCCAAAACTAAGAGGCATGAGTTACAGGGAAAAGCTGTATACATTGAACCTCATGTTGCTGGAAGACAGAAAAAATTTGGGGAGACATTATCACCACATACAAAATTCTCATGGGAATTGACAGGGTAGATAAGGACAGATTATTAATATGTGTGGTGGGAACACAAGTGAAAACTGAGTACCCAAATGAGCCACAGAGACATTATAACTTTTTCAGTGTCAGAGTAATTAACAAATGGAATGCATTAGGAAGTGGTGTGGTTGAGGCAGATTCCATATAGTTTCAAGTGCAAATATGATAAGAGCTCAATGAGCTCAGGAACCTGTACACCATTTGGCTGATAGTATGGCTGACACCTCCACAATACTTTGTAGGGTAGGCTACCATAGTGCACACCTCCACAATACTGTGGTAGGGGAAGGTTACCAGAATGAATGAAAAGCACTATCCATACACAAAGTTGTGTTTAAGTGAGTATTCTGGCTTCCTCTTTATAGCTAGTTAGGTAGTAATTAATTATACCATTAGCATATCCATGACCTGAAGCAGACCAAATGTCCCAATTAACAGTGACCTAATTACTCACAAGGTCAATCTGAATAATTTTCTATTACAGAATAGGCCTACATTAATGCATAATTAGGTGCAGACATATATCTTACTGGATTCACCTTTCCATAAGCTTCTCAACTTCAAAGATAATTCTTTACAACTCGTGTCGGGTTAATTTACAGAGCAAATTCTGGGCGATTAAGGTGCCTGTTCACACTGTAAAAGTTGTAGCAGTGTTCTAGTGTTCAATGTTATGCAGTGTACAATTCTTGAGTTGATTTTGATTTCGGGGCTTTAGTGTCCCCGCGGCCCGGTCCTTGACCAGGCCTCCACCCCCAGGAAGCAGCCCGTGACAGCTGACTAACACCCAGGTACCTATTTACTGCTAGGTAACAGGGGCATTCAGGGTGAAAGAAACTTTGCCCATTTGTTTCTGCCTCGTGCGGGAATCGAACCCGCGCCACAGAATTACGAGTCCTGCGCGCTATCCACCAGGCTACGAGGCCCCAATGAACAAAACTCTCCAGGGCCATGGAAGGTTAAGATACCAACACCACAATATAGCTGGCAACTCACGCTAACAAATGCAAATTTTCCAATAGAAAACTACAAATTTTTATAAGGTAAATATGGCACATGGCCGTAAACCAAAGCAGTATAGCACTGAAGCGCTACATGGCCGTAAACCAAAGCAGTATAGCACTGAAGCGCTACATGGCCGTAAACCAAAGCAGTATAGCACTGAAGCGCTACATGGCCGTAAACCAAAGCAGTATAGCACTGAAGCGCTACATGGCCGTAAACCAAAGCAGTATAGCACTGAAGCGCCACATGGCCGTAAACCAAAGCAGTATAGCACTGAAGCGCTACATGGCCGTAAACCAAAGCAGTATAGCACTGAAGCACTACATGGCCGTAAACCAAAGCAGTATAGCACTGAAGCGCTACATGGCCGTAAACCAAAGCAGTATAGCACTGAAGCGCTACATGGCCGTAAACCAAAGCAGCATAGCACTGAAGCGCTACATGGCCGTAAACCAAAGCAGTATAGCACTGAAGCACTACATGGCCGTAAACCAAAGCAGTATAGCACTGAAGCGCTACATGGCCGTAAACCAAAGCAGTATAGCACTGAAGCACTACATGGCCGTAAACCAAAGCAGTATAGCACTGAAGCACTACATGGCCGTAAACCAAAGCAGTATAGCACTGAAGCACTACATGGCCGTAAACCAAAGCAGTATAGCACTGAAGCACTACATGGCCATACACTGAAGCAGTATAGCACTGAAGCACTACATGGCCATACACTGAAGCAGTACATACAAATATAATTACAGTAGTGGCCATACACTGATGCAGGGTAGGCCTATCTAATTACCCAAAGCCTTTTAGCATTACACATGTATGTACATTACATATGTATTACATGTGTATGTATGTACTTTACCTCAATAAACATAAGCAATGAATACATGTGACATATTTACTCAGTATAATATTAGTGGTGAATGTAGAACATGAAAATGACATATTTTTACTCTGAAATAATATAATTTTATAACAAAATTAGATGAAACTTCCTACAGCTAAAACTGTAGGAAGTCAACGATGCAAATGACAATGTTGCGGCTTTGGGTAATTACATGGACCTAATTTTGTTAAAAATGATATTATTTCAGAGTAAAAATATGTCTTTTTCATGTTCTACATTCAGCACTAATATTAAAACTGAGTAAATATGTCACATTTCTTTGTTACTTAAGTAATGGTAGGAGGCTTTGGGTACCTTTTGGTAGCTTTGGGTAATTGGATGGACCACAATGCAGAATACTCCTACACTTTAGTGTATACCTATACACTGAAGCCATACATCCTCATACATGTAGGATAATAATATGCAATAATGAAATCTAGTCTTATATGTTGATAATTAAGTGAAAAATAACAGTAATTTAATATCTTGAATGATGATGACTAACAAACTAGCTAAAACTAGAAATATTTGCTCATGGGGATGATATACGTGTAGTATGGGGCAAAGATGCCATTGGTCGGCAGAGTACAGTACAGTTTTTAGTCATAAATGTTTGTGTGTGAGGGATGGGTCTTACAGCCTCGGTGGAGCGTACTGTTTCTGTCAGTAAAAATGAGAACATTATTACCTGGATATGAGGTTAAGATATTTAAGATAAAATTAGAGTTTTGCTAAACATTCTCTGACTAGTACTTAATAATACATAATTTTGTTTTAACAAGAAGCTCAAATATCTTTGTTATTTATTGCAAGTGTTTAAGGTGTATGTAATTGTTTATGTAATAAGATGTTTATGTAATACAGTATGTGTTTTGGTTACCATGAGGCTTCTTTAACCCCTTAACTGCGTTGCCTCCAAATGTGACACCCCCGCAGTGCGCAGGAAATAAATTCTCTGGAAAAAATTCTTTTTTCTTTTTAAAATGTGCCACATGTGTTCTCGTTACCTTGAAACTTCTCTAAACAGTGCCTTATGTGTCCTGGTTATTTTTTTTTGTTCCCTTCTTCCCCTCGCCACTACAGGGGGTGTAGCGTTTTAATTAGCTTCAGGGCACCCGTTTTCCCTAACCAGTGGGCATGGGAAGATGTAGGTGCACCTTAAGCACACATTTCCCTACCAATGCAAACTAAAATATGTAATAAATGGTTAGTTGGCACATCTCACACACAGGAATTAAGATGATGATAATAATAGTTAGCACAATGGAAAAATCTTTTGTATATGGTTTTTCTTATATACGACACAGCATACAAAGGGAGGGGTGCACAGTATATCATTAAAAAGAACTAAACCAGAGGGCAAAACAAGTCTGCCCAAACGGCAGGTATGATGACTTTGATGACAGCATACATGGAAAAATACTTCAAAACAAAAGCCCCTTGCAAGGCCCCGGAGCGGGAGGATTCTCGTGTGTGCACATGGGGGTCCCTCCGGCAGGAGCCATAGCAACTCGTGGGCTCCGGCCAAGTCATCCACCCTCCTGTGAGAAACCATTCGGGGAAATGGTTACATTTCTACAGCATTTGCTTTAATTTGGATTGCATGGGCAAAATCTCCTCCGCTTAGCAGACGGGGTACCGGACAAAACCCACTTGTGGCAAGATGGAACCTCGCATGCAGATTCAAGGCCAACACTATAACCCATGCTGTACAGTGTTGCCTTCCAAACCCTAGTGCACTCAGATGTTCCATTAGTAGGGGTTCCAGCAGCTTCTCTAAACAGTACCTCATGTGTTCTGGTTACCTTGAAGCTTCTCTAAAGTGCCTTGTATGTTTTGGTTAAATACTCTCAATTAAAAGTAACTTTGTTTTGGAAAAATTACACATTACTGTATAGTAGGTTGTCCTGTTGTGTACAATCAGAAATTGTTTAACAAAATGGTAAAGTTATTTCTTTTGTTCATTCCATAATTAATGGTTCCATGTTACAAATGATAATGTCAAAAATATTTTAACATAATTTGTATAAAATAATTAGTAATAAAAGTTTTATGCAAAACCATTTGTTTAAATACATACTGTGAAGATTGTGATTTCCGCATCATCTGATTTTTTTAATTTATTATGCATATCCATACCCATCCCTTGGGCAGCATACCAGGGACAACATACCCATCCCTTGGGCAGCATACCAGGGACAACATACCCATCCCTTGGGCAGCATACCAGGGACAACATACCCATCCCTTGGGCAGCATACCAGGGACAACAGGGCTAACAACACTGCAAACCAGGCATGACAGGACGGATCCAGACAATGTCTCCAAAAGTGGCATACTTAAATCAATTAACAAGAAACACGAATATGAAAAAAACATAGGATTGGTCTAGTTACAAAAAGAGATACATATCAATGCTTACCAATTATTATGAAGAGCCAAAGTTTCTTTTTATGAGAATAGATTTAAAAAATCAAAAGGAAATATGAAAAGCCATCTCTCTAACATCCTAGGATCTAAACAACAATCACATGTTCCCCCCCTCTTTTACCTCTATTTTTTATATGTACTCATCACATCTTTTCTTTTTTACCCATTAGTTTTAAGCTGTAGTCATTAATGTTTTTCCTGCCCGAAACGCTTTGGGTAATAGTGGCTTTAGGCATTGTGTGTACTAGCTCTATCTATAAAGCCAACAAACTTTGTAAATCTCTTTATGTATGTACCTTACCTAAATAAAAAATTATTATTATTATTATTATTATCACATAAGCAGATAAAACTCTCCAAAATAGTTACACTCTTGCAACAGACTAAGAAATTGCAACTGAATTCAATAGCTTCTTTTCATCAATTGGTGCTAACCTTGCCAGAAAAAATCCCAGAGACCCAGATACATGTTACTACATATCTCACCAGCAGCTATCCTAATTCTCTACTCCTTTTACCCGTTAACCCGACAAACATTATATCCATAATGCAATAGCTTAAAACCAAAGCTGGGAACATTAATGAAATACCATCTATGATATATAAGAATTCTGCCCTGCTCTCGCACCACCCATAGCTCTGCTATCTAACAAATCTCTAGCGTGTCATAATTTTCCTAATATCCTTAAAAATGCAAGAGTGATGCCAGTTCAAAAAGGAGGCGAGACAGCTGGCATAAATAATTACAGACCAATATCAAATTTACCTATACAGTACTTCCAAAAATATTTGAACAAAATATTTACAAATAGCTCTATTCCTACTTCGTAAAACTCAACATATTAAGTCCCCGCCAGTTTGGCTTCTGTTCTCAAGAGTACCAATGATGCCATTATTAGTCTGCTTAATATAATCTACACAGCCCTTGACAAAAATGAGTTCCCAATTGGCCTCTTCATTGGCCTTTAATACTGAAAACCATAATTACTTCTTGCTTAAACTTCACAATGTAATCCAAGGCTTTGCTCTGAACTGAAATAAATACAGTTTTGAAATTCCTAGAGTACGACTTAATCAAACTAGAAATGCTCTACAAATCAAGGGGCCCAGAATGTGGAATGACCTTCCCAACCATGTTAAAGACTGTACCTCTCTCAACCAGTTTAAGATAAAAACGAAGCTATACCTAATAAATTCCCTGTAACCTACCTTACCCTTCTATTGTCAACCAATGTCTGTTTTTTTTAAGAGCGCTGTTTGTCGACATAATTGTATTTGTGCTGCTTCTTCAGCTATGTTTTCATTTCTTGTTTTCATTCTACTCATTATGCTCAATTAGTATTAAGCTTGTCATTTAAGTTTATCATGCCCGAAACGCTTTGCGTAATAGTGGCTTTAGGCATTGTATGTACTAGCTCTACCTATAAGTCAACCAATCTTTGTAAAAATTTATTGTATGTATGTACCTTACCTAAATAAAAATTATTATTATTATTATAACTATATTCGATCTTTTCTCAGTGACAGACACCAATATGTAGCCATCAATGATATAACCTTCCCCACTCTACCATTAACTGTAGGAGTGCCACAGGGCAACATCTTAAAACCACTCCTATTTCTTATATACCAGTACTGTACATCAATGATTTGCCAAATGTGTCGTAACATTCTTAAACCTATACTATTTACCGATGATACTACCTTAGAACAGATGCTTTTTCTCCTATTTTTTCAGTCATCGGGAGGTTCTTCCTCCCGATGACTGCAAGAGTTCTGAAACGTTATGTTGAAAGATGTTGCACTCACAGTTGGCACATCAGAAATTCGTGAATTGGCAGAGGTTGGAAGAAATCGATGTCTTCTGTGTTGTTGATTTACGACCATCGTGGGATGGGCTGCGCCCCAGCGTACCCGTGAAGGGTTAATCGCGAAGCCTGGAAAGGGTGAATCGCCAAGCCGGATCGCGAAACGAGTGACGCCAATCACTGGAAACTAACATGCTTTGCGGCAAAGAAACACACAGACAGGCAGATGATTGGAGGAGCTCCAGGAGTCCCTCAGGGTGACAAGCACCGGCCGGGCCCACACGGAGAACACTGGGGAGCAAACCCAAAAACTCGGCCCCTATCGAAGTCATCCAGTGCCCCCCGGCAGACGAGATGCCAACCGCCCACCACGGCTGAGGGCCCACTAGGAGCCCACCACGGCTGAGGGCCCACTAGGAGCCCACCACGGCTGAGGGCCCACCAGCCGCCCACCAAGACCCGCCCTCCCCCGAACATCGTCACCCAGCCGGGAGAACCAGCCAGAACACGTAAAAAAAATCTACCAACAATCCACTGACCCAAGACGATATGCGCGCCAGGCGTCGTACAACCGGACCGTTGAATAGGGATGCCAAACGGCAGTATCAAATCCAAATCGCAAAACAATACGTGATCCGGCGGCTCCCCGGCAGAGTCGGCGTCCAGACATCCGCTCGTCGTCAAGGTTAATACCTGATACCTGATACCTGGTTGATACCTGGTTGAACCAGGAGTCCGATGTCTTCTATGTGCATGAGGAAACGAACTCAGGACTGTAAAGAGGAAGAATTGTGTTGATGGTAATAGCAAAGTGGCGCAGTTCCATGTTTTGATATTCCTAGAGTACGACTTAATCAAACTAGAAATGCTCTACAAATCAAGGGGCCCAGAATGTGGAATGACCTTCCCAACCATGTTAAAGACTGTACCTCTCTCAACCAGTTTAAGATGAAAGCGAAGCTATACCTAATAAATTCCCTGTAACCTACCTTACCCTTCTATTGTCAACCAATGTCTGTTTTTTTCTTTAATGAGCGCTGTTTGTCGGCATAATTGTATTTGTGCTGCTTTTTCATCTATGTTTTCATTTCTTGTTTTCATTCTACTCATTATGCTCAATTAGTATTAAGCTTGTCATTTAAGTTTATCATGCCCGAAACGCTTTGCGTAATAGTGGCTTTAGGCATTGTATGTACTAGCTCTACCTATAAGTCAAACAATCCTTGTAAATATTTATTGTATGTATGTACCTTACCTAAATAAAATTGTATTGTTGTATTGTTGTTGAAAGTGTGTGATATTGATTTATTTAATTTATATATATACAAGAAGGTATATTGCGTTTGTGAGAGGACATAGCATGATGTGTTTACATTCTTGTAAGGCCACTAGTACGCACAGCGTTTCGTAGTAGTATTCGCGAGCAGCCGCGTCCAACAGCCTGGTTGATCAGTACAGCAACCAGGAGGCCTGGTCGACGACCGGGCCGCGGGGACGCTAAGCCCCGGAAGCACCTCAAGGTAACCTCAAGGTAAGGAGGGTCAAGAGCCGGAGGCGAAGTATATGTGGGAGTCGGACGCAAATCAGACAGGGTACGGTAAGTGGGAGTACATTAAGGAACACGGGGTAAATGTGTATAAGGTTAGGTCAGGTTGGGATAGGGTAGGCGAGGGGAAGGGGTATTAAGATTGATGAAGATTAAGCCACCCAAGAGGTGGCACGGGCATGAATAGCCCGTAAGTGGTGGCCCTTTTGAGTCATTACCAATATCACGAGCTGATACTGGAGATCTGTGGAGGCGCAACTGCACCCTGCGTGACGGGAGATGTCTCCCGGACCAAGTGGTGACCAAATGGTGGGGGTATTAAGTAATGTTGTCGGAATCCGGAGCATTAAGCCTGGGATGTGATCGCATCGATCTTCTTTGACGAACCTGTAAGATAGCGTGTGGAAGATCTGAAAGTAGGTGGGAAGATGCGTCAAAGGAGAGTGTGGTTTATGTGGTTTGTCAGGCAATGCTTTTTTCCCCACAGGGTTATTAACCCATCGAACCGCCTACCCGCCGAAGCCGTAACTTCCGTCGTGCCGTGGGGCCGTTGACAAGCGACCTGGGGTACACTGGGATCCGTCTGTCCTGGGGTCCATGCTGGCCAGACCAATGTTGGTGGGACAGACTGGAGTCAGTGTTGTTCCTCTTCAATGTCCAGCGGGATCGTCGGGAGGGCGACCTGGGGTCCGATTGATTGATTGATGAAGATTAAGCCACCCTAAAGGTGGCACGGGCATGAATAGCCCGTAAGTGGTGGCCCTTTTGAGTCATTACCAGTATCACGAGCTGATACTGGAGATCTGTGGAGGTGACCTGGGGCCAGATTCACGAAAGCAGTACGCAAGTACTTACGAACGTGTACATCTTTCCTCAATCTTTGACGACTTTGGTTACATTTATTAAACAGTTTACAAACATGAAAACTTCCCAATCAACTGTTGTTATTGTTATAAACAGCCTCCTGGTGCTTCCGAGCTCAATGACTGTTTAATAATTGGAAACAAAGCCGCCAAAGATTGAGAAAAGATGTACAGGTTCGTAAGTGTTTGCGTAAGTGCTTTCGTGAATCTGGCGCCTGGGGTCCACTGTGACAGCCTATGTACCCCCGACAACACAAATCATTCCAGAGCTAAGTCAACTCTCACACAAGGAACGGTTGAGGGACTCTGGGATAACAACACTACAAAACCAGGCATCACAGGGCGGATCTCATTGAAACTTTTAAAATACTGAACAATTTGGAGGATGTTGATCTAGACCACATCTTCAAAAG